ATTTAAGATTGATAATACGACATAAATAAATTATTAGTCAATTTAAATTTTATAAAAAAATTTTTTAACATTTGTTTATCTATTTATAAAATTTAAATTTAATAACTTATTTAAAAAATTAAATTCTTTCCACTCAAATGAATAAACTATTAATAACATTACTAAACATAAATAACATTTAATAACTTATTTAAATTTCAATTGTTATTTAAATAAGTTATTAAATTTTCGTTTGAAATTTAATAACTTATTTAAAAAATTAAATTCTTTCCACTCAAATGAATAAACTATTAATAACATTACTAAACATAAATAACAAAAATTTAAGATTGATAATATGACATAAATAAATTATTAGATAATATAAATTTTTTTAAAATATTTTAAATAACATAATTTATGCAATTTTATAATTACTTTCAAATTTTAGTCCATAAAGTTCCTATCTTTTATCTTTATTCAACAAACAAACACCAAATTCTGTCGCATTCCATGTACCGGGATCCAGTGACCACTTGCTGTCTTAAAAAGCAAATCATAATTTCCACTCTCAAGTTTCGGATTCAATATTCTCCACCAACAACTCTAATATACTAACCTTTAACTATTGCTCTTATTAAAAAAAAAAAAACACCAAATTCGTCAATAATCATCTTCAACTTTAGAACAAAGTATTACGAAGGAAGCTATAAAAATATCAAAAACAGCTTTATTAATTTCATTCAGACAACTCCAGCTCTAAAAGAAATACATCGCATAAAAATGAATATCTGTCTCCGCATCACACAAATTCAATAAATCTGCCCTAACTTCGAATCTAACACAAGAAGACAGCTACAAATAGGGACAAGAGTGTAGCAGAGAGACCGGCAACGCCTAGAGATGTTGCGGAGCTGCCTGGGGGAGAAGGAGGGGTGGTGGAAGACGAAGGTGGTGCTGAGGTAGGTGATGATGTGGCGGTAGGGGATGGAGGAGGAGAAGAAGCTGTGGGTGGGGAAACTGGCGAAGGCCTGGAAGGGAAAGAGCCAGGACTGGGAGCAGGGGCAGGGGAAGTAGGAGTGCGGAGAGGAGCAGGAGTGGCACTAGGGCCGGGCGAAGGAGTGGCTGGTGAAGGTGCAGGGGAAGAGGGCTGAGGAGCAGGAGATGGAGTCGCAGCGCTGACGTTGATCGCCAATTTCTGACCGGCGCTGCAGTGGCCAGAGAAGGTGCAGATGTAATAACGTTCGCCAGTGGAATTCAGGACAATATTTGCGGGTCCAGTCCTGTTCACAAACTGGGTTTTTGCAGTGTTGCAGGCATCAAAATCTGCCTTTAACACTCCGGCCACGTTGTGACTTCCGCTGGCAAAATTAAAAACTGCGGCCAAAATCAAAAGCAACCCAAATCGTTTTAATTCATCCAAAAACCATAACTGAATTTGAAATCAATCAAAAACATAATTTTAAAAAATAAATTTCATTCTGAAATAAAAGGCAGGTGCTCAAATCTCTGCAAAACCAAAAAATTAAAAAAAAAAAAAATTCTAGAAAGAAGACTTTATTTCTTACCGAGAGTGTCACCGACTCTGAAAGTTTTATTTCCTGCCCATGTACTGTAAAACACGGCACCGGTTTGAGGGACTGTCCACCCTGAAGCATCTCCGACGTTATAAGTGCTCTGAGCAGCCGAGTTCTGTAATAAAGCCGCCAAGGCTATTGTCGCGAGGAATAACATATTCAATCTATGTGCCATTGTCCTGTCTTGTGTTCTTGATTCCCTGGATCGCCCCTGTTCTGTATTATATTCTTGTTGTTTTTTGCTCTGTTTTTGAACCAAATTGAGGTGAGAGGGTTGAGTGATATTTGGTTTCGGGGGATGTACTTATAGGAAAAGGGGTTTGTCAATTAGATGGATTTGTAACCGTTGGATGGAGAACACGCGTTGTTAGAGGTGGTTGTTGGGATGGACTTGAACTGGGAATTCCAGAAATGCCGCGTGAGAAGTGAGAACCCACCAAGGCCAGACAAAGAAGACTTTGTTTGCGTTTACTTTGTCTGAATTGTAAAGTCTAACCAACAATTCAAAGTCGAGGAGAATATAAGAAAAGCTAATTAGTTACTTAGATTTTATAAAATGAAGTGATTCAGACGTGAAGAAAAAGGACATTGTCAAATTTTAGGCTTAATTTAATAAATCGTCTATTAACTATTACTCTTTTTCATTTTAGTCTAGATACTTTATTTTTTTTCAAACTCATCTATTAACTTTCAAAATCATTTCATTTTCATCTACCCAACGCAACACCGTTACCCATCTGTTAACCACCGTTAACCACATTGACGAAAGTTTCAGTTTTTAATAGTGAGGCGCCATGCAAGTTGCCCTGTAACTCCACATAAGGCAGCTGTTGGCCTAAAAAAGAGAAGGAAAATTCCACAGCATTTTTTCTCTTTATTTTTTTTTTTTTTGGTGGCAGGAGCAAATTTCTTGTCTCATTATTTTTCTTTAATTTAAAATTTTTATTATTATTTTTAGTATAATTTTATGTAGTATTTAAATAATTAATTTTTTTATTTAAGATATATAATATTGAGTATATTTATTTATTTAATAATATATAAAATTATATAAAAAAATTATACAAAAAATTATCATCATATCACTATTTTTTTTATATTAAAACATTTAACTTTAAGAAGCGGGAATTTTCCCTCTCATTTTTTAGGTCAATAGTTTGCTTACGTGGCGCCACACAGCAGTTTACATGGCGCCACGCAATTTGAAACATAAACGTCCGTCAATGTGGTTAACGGTGGCTAACAGATGGGTAACGTTGTTGTGTTGGGTAGATGAAAATGAAATGCTTTTGAAAGTTAATAGATGAGCTTGAAAGAAAATAAAGTATCTAGACGAAAATGAAAAAAGGGTAATAGTTAATAGACGATTTATTAAATTAAGCCCAAATTTTAAGACTGCAATGTGAACCAAGCCTTAGCATGTGTTTCATTTCCCACATTTCAAGAGTTTGGTGATCTTCTGAATTTTTTTTTGTTTGTTGGCCAACGTGTCCTTTTAGATTTGAAGTTGCATGCACCATGCTTTGTAGAGTAATTAGTTGGTGCAGTCAATATTTTAATTAATACTAAGATTTAAACTACAATAATATTCATTAAATATCTCTTTTCCTCTTACTCTCAAATTATAACCATTTAAAAGAAAAAAAGAAGTTACAAAAACAAATATTGCCATTTTTAAGTGTACCTAAAATTTAATGTGTCATACAAGTACAATATTATCACACATCATAGTTAATTGTTTATATAGAAAGAGAGTCATAATTTAATTAGTAAGAGAATTTATTTTTTATTTTGTTAAATGTGTAAAAATTAAATTTTTGTAGAGGTTAAGAAAAAATTAATTTTTTATGAATTTTTAAATTTTGATGTGAATAATTTATCTTTAGTTGAGACAATAAACAATTAATTTTAAAATTTGCACAAACTGACTTAGAACAGCTTGCACACTAAGAGAAAGAGGTTAATTGATTTTGTTTAATTTGCTTAAACTATCCATTTTTCCTTTCCATCTAGTGATGTATAAATTGGAACGTATATTATCTTGGGGAGTAAACGGGAACCAGACTTATCTGAAACATTTAAATGTAATTGGTGAAAAAATCCAGTGAAATTGATTTGACATCTTGCAATGTATGAATAAAGCACTGCACATAACTTTGAAGAAAATTATAAAATAATTAACTCCGTCTTCATTGGTCTTCGGGTAGGCTCCACTTTTTAGTCCTATAGACTGGATATTTAATTATTCAATCAAGCGCTGCAGGGACGCAGCTTCCATAATAATTGACCGAGTGTACCTTTGAGCTTGCGGCAATATCACGGCAGGCTCATGAGGTTCTAAGTTCCTACTTAATTATAACAAAGCAAATGTGTCTAATTGAAACTACAATGGTTAAATGTTGACCTTGTAAGAAGTTAGACTGGGTTACATAGACTGGGTTGCTTAGTATTAATTAGAGTAATTTATAATTATACGTAATTTACCTAAACATATCAATTAAATTACATAATATATAATGTAAGATGACATAAGTGTGTGTATAGGTCATCGGCGGCTGGCTCATCGCCATGTGATGGCTCTTGGCACAGCCCAGTAAGCTGGTGGCAACCACCACCTCAATTATTAATTTCAAAAGTTTCTTTCTCCATTTCCATTGTAAAATATAATTTTAGTATCTTTCTTTCTTTTCTTTTCTTTTCTTTTCTTAAAAAAAAAAAAAAAAACAAAAAGGTGGTTCATGCCCCTCACCTAAAATTTGACTGGCTGCCCGGGAATTTTTGCTTCATTATAAAACTGCTTAATTCAAAAATTAGTCTATTAACTATCAACTTGATTTCATTTTACTCTAGAAAGTATGTTTTATTTTTAAGTAGTCTATAAACTTTGGAAAATGTTTCAGAATGGTTTACCATACAAGATTTTCGTTAGTTTTAACAGAAGAATCAACTTAAAATTAAAATAGAACAGTCCTCTAAGTTTTAAAAAAGTGATACTATAATCTTAATAAAATATAATAAATCAAAGAATACTCTATAGAGATAGATTAGTTAGAATTTGTGATGAAATTGAGCAACTAGCTCAATTCAAAGAGAGAAACCTAGCAAACTTTGAAAGAGAAGCTCTAGAAGTATGTATTGAAAGTACAATGAGAGTTAGAACTCTTAATTACAAAATAAGAACAAAAAAAGAAAGAATAAATACATTAAGAAATATTATTAATACACTTTTATCAACATAAGCAATGAACAAATAAATCAAATTAACATGTATTTACTCAATACGGTAGGAAAAAGTATAATAGATATAGAAGATAAATTATCATAGATAATATTCTAAAAATAGAAACAATTAATGAAAATACCCTAAGAAGAATTAAAGAAATGGGAAAATCCCTTTCTCAAGAATTTGATTCTATTAAAGAAAGAATAAATAATATCAAAAACTCTAGAAATTTGAAAGAAATAAAAGAAGCAATAAGGTCTATTAAAGAGTCAAAGACTCAGATATCTCGAGTAAGATAAAAATCAAAATAGAAGAAATTTTCAAGATATTAAAAGCAATCGTTGAAAAATTTGCAATAAAAACTTAAAAATGTATAACAAAATAATTCCACAACTAGAAAGTGATTAGATAAAATTTTTTATAAGATCCAAACACAACTCAAGGATCTACGAGACACTATAATATTAGTCTGTAGTAGGTGAAATATTGTAGATAGAAATGAAGGATTTAAAATAATCCCAAAATGTTTCACAAAAAAGCCTAAATCAAAAGGGATAACACTTTTCATGTTAAAAACCCAAGAAAAAAAATGTAGAACTAAATAATTTGTGCAAACAGATTACTATAACTACTAAACAATTAGAAAATATGAAAATGAATACCCAAAAGGAGGAAATAGAAGAGGGAGGTGAAGAAGAAAAGGATGAAACACATCCCAATATAACCCCAACAGAATTTCCAGTGCCACCTGGAGTAGAATCCAGCATAAGCCAGAGCTATAGAAAAAATAGAAATCTAACGCATGAAGTGATATATGATAAAAAGAGTAAAAGATTTAGGAATCAATCTAGACTTGAAACGCCAGTAAGAATCAAAGAACAGATAATTAGAATTAATGGTATTTGGCTAGATCTAGATTGTGTTATTGACCCAAAGAAGGTCATTAGTGATTAGGCCCAAGCTACTTGGATAGCCGTAGCAAACAGAAATTGAAATGCCTTGCAAACAGTTAGATTTATTAAAGTCACCTTTAAAGGGATAGTTCACAACTGGTTTGCTAATCTAAATGAAGAAGACAATAATGTTATTATAAGTGGAAATCTTGCTTCATAAGAAGTTAATGAAAATGAAACAATTAAAGACATAATAAATAGGTTTGAATCGGCTATTAGGAGAGAATTCTTAGGAGAAATTTGGGAAGAAAATCAAGGAAAGGAGAAGGCCAGAATTGGAAGAATAGTAGTGTGGAATTTGCAAAATTTAGAACTATGTAATCTCTGTGAATTAGATCAACATTTGTCTATTACAGAAATAATATTATAAAGCTTCAAATCATGGAATAACTAAAGGCCTCATGGAATTGTTTTTTGGAAAAATTCCTAATCCTTGGGAAATAAAATTGGCAGAAGCCTATAGAATATATGTAGAAGATAAGAAAGATACTTTAGGGTTAAGGATTTGATTTGCTAAAATCAAAATTAATGAATGGTCCCTAGAAACCTATAGCTAGAACAAACTAAGAAAAATTA